GAATCTGGTGGTACAACTCAAAATGAAATTAAACTCATGAATAATTGATTAGAACGAATTCCCAAATTTCCCAAGCTTTGAAATCCCTCGATCGTTTCGTATTAAACTTGAGAAATATAAGTAGCTATTTTACAAAGGTACAATTGGTAAAATTTCTCATGACCCTACATATAGAACTTGAGTTTATTGACCCAATACTTTAGTAGGCATAATAATATAAGACTGGCTTTTAACCGCGACTAAAAAAATCCATTTCTAAACGAATTTTGGAATGTTACTTGTGTTCTACAACACTCTTTATTTTTTATAATGGCATAAGCCGGTAAACGAGCAGACGGATCACCGGATGGTAAGCATTCGGCGTCGCCATTGGACACCTGGAACACCAGAGGTGTTACAAGTGCGTTAGCGACCTTTTAGGGATTAGGAGTTTGAGTATTGTTGGGGGTTCAGGAATTGGGGAGATTGGGGAAAGGGAGGGTAATTGGGCCTCCGGTGACCTCACTCACACAACGAAACACAACGCAAGCGTTGCTTCACGTCGGTTTTCTGTGAGGCCGTGGTGTCACTCCGGTCGAGCCGGCCCATTCGGAGAATTTAATATTTTACTTTAATAATTTTTTTATAAGCTTTCACTCACTTTTAAGACGTATTCAAAAGTAATTCTATCGCAACCAATTCTTTACTAAACGACAGAGATAGAACGACATTTAAGTGTAAGTTAAAACCGAGATCGTTTCACTATTCAGACTTAAGACGAAGCAAGTTTTTGCTTTCCACAACCAATATTGACTCTGCATTGTCTATCAATCACTCAGACACTCCGTCACTATGTCATTCGGTTGCCAGCAAACCAAGAGTTTTACATAAGATATATTGAAGCTGCAGGTTGACTCGTGATTTCAACTTATTTATCTCTGCCACTTTAGGGTAATGTTTTCAGAAATAGGTTTTAAACTAGATTGACTGCACGGCTGGTATGATGGCTGGGTAACTGACTGCCGCGCAACGTGTCTCGGGGGTTTGATTCCCACACGGAACAATTCTTTGTGTGATCCACAGATTGTTGTTCCGGGTCTGTGTGTCATGTGTATGTGAACTTGTATGTTTGTAAAAGCACCCACGACACAGGAGAAAATCCTAGAGTGGGGAAACGTTTTGCTTTAAAAAAATAATTGGCTTATGTATTGAGTTTTGGAATTTTTAGAGTTTTTTATAAGTTTTTGCTATCACAGTACAAGGTGGGCTTACTGCCATGGGCATTCTTACTAGCCAACCCTCTGGTGATGGAGTGAAAGCATGGTCGGTGCATTAAGTTAAAAACTTAAGCGTCTACAATATGAGCCGCGGAGAACTTAACGGGTTACCGGGGCTCCGGCTTAAAATGCAGGAACGGGGTGGTTTTTAGTCAGTAAGAGTCTGACACTCTCACCTCACCCAGGTGGGAAAAGTCATTCGATGATTTTCCCCCTTAAAAAAACAGACTCCAATATAGTTTCTAAAATGAGAATACTTAAACATATATCAGTATCATAAACACAGATAAACATGAATACATACAACGATTTAAATACTAAGAGTTCTATGCTAACGGGTGATACGAGATTCCAGAACGACACTTTTAGGATTTATACAAAAAGTTAGACTCTGTGTGAATCAGACTAAATAGTCACTCATAGACACTACCTATTACGGTCTATTAGAAGTGAATTCATTACTCTGATTGATTTTAGCAATCCAAGGTTTCATATTACATACTGACTAGGTGTGGTGATGGCTAAGCTAGGTAGACTAACTTTCTCTTTATATTTGCATCTTTAAATACAATATATTTCTCTATTATAAAAAGGTAATTTGATCAAAATGTAAATAACTGCCCCGTTAGCCGAGTGGTCGCAAGTGCGACTGCCAGGCAAGGGGTCTCTCGAGTTCGATTCCCGGGTCGGTCAAAATATTTTTCTGTTTTTTAAAAATAAACAGCCTCACAAAAAACCGATGTGAAGCAACGCTTGCGTTGTTTCGTCGTGCGAGTGAGGTTACCGGAGGTCCAATTACAATACATAACATAAATAGTGAAAAGTGAGTGTTACATTGTACAGTGGCATTAAGTGCCGTAATGTACACCTCTGCCTACCCCTTCGGGGATAAAAGGCGTGATGTTATGACGACGATGATGATGATGTAAATAAATACTGTGCTCGATATTTTCTCAGATTTAAAAGATTAATTTCGTCATGACATCGACAGGCTGGTATAATTAAGGTAAGTAGGTACCTGTCTTTTATGTCGACTGTACTTATTTCGGATTAGGCTTAAGAAAGCCGCTTCCGAATTTTCGGAAGATAAGAGCGATTTTCGTGAAAAATCCGTCACAATGTCAGTTTAATATCTTTTAGAACAAAATTCTACATTGTGAGATAAATTATTGTCCCGTACCTACTTTCCGCATGCTTTTAAAACTTTTTGCTTAATACCTTTACTTTTTAGATTGTATTTAATATAAAATTATTCGAATATTATATGAATAAACTCCGTTTTATCTTGTAAAATAGATGTTTTGTTCGTGAAATATCTATACATATACGCCTGACTCCCATGGGTGGGAGCACAGACTATGGAACGCCAATTGGTACAATTCTTACATATCTTTTTCGGTATATCAGCGGCCATCAGTATTTTTATGCATACTCGTTTATAAGGGTAGTTAAAATATTATGTGCTGACCTAAACATGTTTTTGTGTTCTGTAGTCTAATAAATGCTTGCCTCATTATCCGAGTAGTCGCAACTGCGACCGGCAAAGAATCTCGTGTTCGATTCCTGGGTAGGGCAAAGTATTACTGTATTTAAAAAAATCTCAGTTGTAGCATGGAGCCTGGTATTGTGCTCGGTTTGTGGCAATAGGCTCACTCCCTATTATATGAGACTCATAACATAAATAGTAAAAGTAGGTGTTTCACTGTACAATGGCACTAAATGCCGTAATGTGCACCTCTGCCTACCCTTTCGGCGTGATGTTATGTCATGATATGTAGTCTAATAAATAACTTATCTACTTGCGTAATTAATATCTACTTATAAGTAATAAATAAAAACACACAACACAATATCTTTCAATAATCATCGTTTGAAGATCATCTCTATTAGGTACTCACAATTTCTTTCTCTGCCCACCCTAAGAGATTATTTGCGGTTTTTATATTGTATTCATACAACAGAACCGAAATCTATTATTATACTCGTATACAAAAGAAACATGGGACTTTCCATTCATTTGTCATTCTTTATCCCCAATGGTGGGCTTATTTAGATGTTTTGAAAGTAATGCTGAATGTGTTGGGCGAGTGGTCGCAACGATTGTTGATCATTAAGTATTTGGTGCTGGAAAATCTAGTTTTTTTAAAATAAAAAGAATATTTGTAATCGGTCCAGGCGTCTTCGAGATATCAAGTTATAAACATAAAAAAATACAGTCGTATTGAGAATCTCCTACTATTTTTTAAGTCGGTTGAAATATAGATCTTATTGACATTTAAAATGCTGTATTTGCTTTGACTTGTAGTACGTTCTTACATAATAATAAAAAAGACCCTTTTCACGTCTATCCGTCTTTATAAACGCGATAAACTCAAAAACTACTAAACGGATTTTGGTATAGTTTTTACCAACAGATAGTGTGATTTACTCTTAAACTTTCCTTAAGTTTAAGTCTAAAAGTTTATATATTATTTTTCATGGTATAAGCCGGTAAACAAGCAGACGGATCACCTGATGCAAACCAATCGACATGGACACTTGGCACACCGGAGGCGTTGCAAGTGCGTTACCGGCCTTTTGGGATTAGAAATTTGAGGATTATTGGGGAGTCAGGGATTAGGGAAGGGGATGAGGGGGTAATTGAACCTCCAGTAAACCTCACTGACCTGAAACACAACGCAAACGTTGTTTCACGTCGGTTTTCTGTGAAGCCGTGGTATCACTCCGGCTTACACCACACAGGTAGACAGAAATCTAGTAAATAATTAAACAGAATCACCTTTTTAGGGTTTGCACCGACCTCGCTAACATACTGTATAGTGTGTTAAATAAATAGATAGAAACCATTTCAGACCCCGGCCACCTAGAATATTTATGTGAACATGTTGTGTTACTTACAACTTAGACAGTTTAGAGGCTCCTCTACTCGAGGAATGTGTAATTAGGGACTTTAAGTTTATTGTGTTTTCTTAAATTTAACTTTAACTAAGTAGGTATACCGACGTCTTTGGGATCTTATTTGTTGTTTTAAACTGTCAAACATCAAGCGGTCACCGGTAACCGCAACCTATTGTTCTTTAATTGTGTCTATAAATACGGTACTCGACGAGTTAATACCTATGGACACTTACTCAGGGCAGACAAAATCTGTAAATTAATAAAAGATACATACATTTTAGGAAGCCCGCTTCTCATGCATGGGTATAGTTTCGAAACCTACCAACGGCAAGTACCAATGTGACTTATTCCGAGTTATATGTACTTTCGAAGATTATCTAGACACCACTGACAAACGGTGAAGGAAAACATCGTGAGAGAACCTGGGCTTATAATTTCTAATTATAAGTTTGTAATCGCCAACCCGCAATGAGCAAGCGTGGTGATTAATGATCAAACCTTCTCCGTGTGAGAAGAGGCTTTGATTGATGACGTACATTTCATTATGTAGAAGCTCTAAATATAATAAACTTCAATTTGTTGGACGCACCTGTACCTACCTACATAATAAAAAGAAATTGTAACAAAATGTTCAAATCAATATGTTTTTAATCTGTGGTAATCAATTATTGAAAACCTTTATGCTTCCTCTCACCTAAGAAAATTTAGTTGTTTTACTTTGACACCTACTTACTACTACGTGCTGTCAAAAAGCGACAATAATTTTACCCGTCTAAATATTATTGTGTTATTACAAACATAATTATAATAATCTTCACTTTAAAACCTAACTATAACTCGCTAAAAATGCCGCGACGCAAAAAGTCTGATCTTTCTAAAAGAAGCCGTGCCGCAACCAAGAGTCGGAATCACAACATTAAGGTTAAGAAAGAAATAACTGATGAAGAATTGGAAAACGCACGGGAGAAGAATCGTAAGAATATGGCCAGATATCGTGCTTCTAGAACGCAAGAGGAGAAAAAGAAAGCTCGCGAAAAGGCTAGATTGGACATGAGAAAACGTAGAGCTAATCGCAAATATCAAGAGCGTCTTCGACGCTTTAGCAGTGATGTTTTAATTCCAAATGACGTCTGTGATCTACTCCAGCCCATCCAGCCGGACAATAAGCAGCCTACGGTATGATAGTATCCTTTTTTTGAATTCGCGAAGGACACACCGGGGGTCAGGGATCGCGGGACGATCTGCGGACGGCGAGCATGGGTGGCTCGCCGCCCGACCAGAAACAGAACCGAGCGTATGGCGCGTCGCGTTCCGCGCGCGCCTCAAAGTGCCATCAGACCATCACAGGTGGGGCCCAACAGGGCCGATGCCGATTCGGAGTCGCGGAGAACCTAACGGGTAACCGGGGCTCCGGCTCGACGTGCAGGAGAAGGAACGGGGTGGTTTTTAGTTAGTAAGAGTCTGACACTCCCTCCCGCCTCACCCAGGCGGGAGCAGTCATTCGATGATTTTACCCTTAAAAAAATCCTTTTTGAATCATTTACAAACCAAACATGTAATTTCATATTATTATCCTACCACGGGGACTCTGTGAACCAAAAACTGTCTTTGGTGTCATTATGAGGTAACATGTCTTCTAAGGGGTTTAACCAGTTCTTGCTTTTCATCTAAGAAAAAGCACTTCATTCACGTCATTGTTTTTGATCACTCCTTGCCTATTATCGACTACACGCTTTCGAAAATTCAAGATAATTTTATAAAGTAACGCAGGATTAAAGTTAGTGACGTGTGAAAGGGTAACTATGGGATAAGCGCCTAGGGTAATAAACACTTGAAGTTTTTTTGTTTTACCCTTAACCTAACCCTTTCGTTTCGGTCCATACTAAGAGCATAGACCTTGTGTCCATATACATATTATGTCTTACATAGATATGTATATCATGAGTACCTACTGTGGCATTTACTGTTAGATAATAACTTTTGTTTAAATAGAGTTAGCGTTATCAAATAAGTTCCCAATAATCCTCAAATTCCTAATCCCCAAAAGGCTTGTAGTGGCTGGTAACTCAATTGTAACACCTCTGGTGTTTCGGGTCTCCATGGGTGACGCTGATTCCTTGCCATCAGGATCACCTGATGGCAAGGAATCAGCGTCGATCGGACAGACGGTGATCCGTCTGCTCGTTTACTGTCTAATTCCATAACAAAGTTATAACGATAGTTACAATCGATGAGAAATGAACAAAATCGAGAAAATTTGCAGAAAAATAGATAATCTATTCCAAAATACCTACGGTAGAAAGATAATTATTATAATTCGTCCTTTTAGGTACCAATGAGTTTAGTGAAACAAGAACTGACCGAGAATGAGCTTAGACAAGCGTTTGAAGAATTGAAATGCAAGAATCTGGCAGATAACCAGAAATATTTTATAACTAGTGAAAAAGCCACATACTTAATTTATGTCAATGAATTCTGAGACGAGAGCGCCATAAAACTAAATACTTACAATAAAATGTAGTACTACATCTTACCTGATTATTTTTCTGAATTAATACATCATCAACGATCTTAAAAGTTAAAAACTTTCGAGCCGCGGGTGCCGTAAAGTCAACAACTCCTGAGGATGCTCCGTGGAGGAGTGAAACATAATGTCGAAAGTGGTTCGAGTAGTGTATTGCGTGTCGTGTGTGTTTTGGGTCACATCTCTGCTGCATGAGCGTTTATCTGCGGGTGGAGGGCGGTGCTGCTTACTGCATGCTGCAAATTCATTCCTTCGACGGAATTAAAACCTAAATATTTTCGCAGTTGATAGTTAAAAACTTTTTTTAATTCTTTATTTTTCTGTATAAAATTTGTCTGATTATAAAACTGTGGGAACTGCCGAGTTGCCCATTTCTATCTTATTATGCCTCAATCTGCCAAATTAATAAAATGGTTCCGTTGAAAGAAGAATTGTACCAAAATCTGTAAAAATATTAGAAAATGATGATAATTACGTTTTGTAACAATTTTTTAATTAAATTCTACTTTAATATCAATCATCTAAATCCAAAATACAAATGTATGTACCTTATTTCTACAAATAATGTCATAGCTATTTCTCCATCAAATTGAGGGTGAAATGATGCTCGTTCGATGCGTGGAATTCGATTCCGAGCTATTAAACATCAATTGCGAACCGGTTACATACTAACTATGTATATATTAAGATTACTGAAATATACACATATTCCTTTTTTCGTCCTGAGAATGCTATCTTGCACGACTTTGTATGTTCGTAAAAGTATCATTTTCATCTCTTTTTCAGAGTCTGTGGATTTTTTTCTTAGGAAGTGTTTTCACACATTTGCTAAAGAATCTACATATCTTTTCGCCTAATATATAAAATTTTCATTTACTGTGTAATATCATACCTTTTATTGCCTGAGGAAGAGAATATTCTTTGTAAAAAGACAGTTCTTTTTTTTGTTAAAAGTCTCCTATCTTAGATAAACTCCAAGCCTATCATACATCAGGCACTATTCCAATCTCAATAATGCTTCATCAGACCCGAGTGCTTACTCTTGAAACCAATCTCAATATCAATGCAATTTCAATCCAACAAAATCTCAATAATTATTCAATGTCAACACTATACAACCCTAATCGTAGCTGTTAAAATTGCATTCAGAGTACGGAATATAAAGCCAAACTCAATACCATTTACAAAAAAAATAGTTCATTCATTATCCACGCAATACAAATGCAGTGGGCGCTAATGTTGCAACTCAAGAGTACGAAAATTCACAATACCTACCAATGTCGATCGATCGGAATTGGATACAAGAGTAATGTCGGAATACTCAAACGCTACTCAATTTTAAGTCGTGCTTAAGTATAGTTCTGTCTCTACAAATTCTTTGTAAAATGACAGAGATGGCACGATATTTAAGCACGACTTAAAATTGAGTAACGTTTCAGTATTCTGGGATAAGGACACAGAGTGCCCTGAAAAACAATCGAGACTATTTCAATTAAAGCCTAACCTAACCTAAAAATATCACAAATCATTTTAAAAGATAGCACCCGACGTTGAAGAATCAATACAGTCAATCTAAATTACACAATTACTCCAACGGGGCCCCTTTCCCTCACCAGTTGATTCCGACATTGACCTATTTATGAGGGGAGAGTGGGGCTACTCGACCCGGTAAAAATTATTATGGAAATTTCATTTCCTTACTTTACATGCATATTGGGTGTTTAATAGAATCGCACCCGTCTAGCAAGTGGGGGGTGTGAACTATTTTTATATGAAATTGTATTTTTATTAATATTTACATACATTAGCGAAATAAATTGTTGCATGAGATAGATAGTCTGTAGGGGATTGGTATTTGATTTAAAAATTTACCTAATTTTACTGCGCCATCGTTTTCAAGGAGGACGCAATATAGGAGGGCGCAATAAAGATAATGTATATTTTACAATCGCCAACGTAGGTCCTACGTACTTTCAATGCATTTGGTGATTCAGTTCCTAAGCTCTTGGACCATGGTAATTGCTTACCATCAAGCAGATCAAAACGTTTAGTACTAATTACAGGAAACCTTAGATTTATGAATACATAATTATTGTTACTAATTAATCTAATTAAAATGGCTGAGTAAAATAATGATTTAGTGCATAATTAATTATTTTCGGAAAATATACAATTTCCCACCGAATTCAGTGACTCATTAATAACATGTTACACTGACAGTATTTCCATCCAATCAATGCATTTCGTTCTCATCTGAAATTCGTCGAAATAATAAATTTATCTGAATTTGTGGCTGAATATTCCTCTGCCGTTGGTATTTTGATTAAACCGTTCACAGTAACTGCGTTAAAATTCGGTCTGTGGACTGTGGTTGATTAAAATTTTCTGTCAGGGTATATATTTACTGTTATATGCCTATGTGATTGTATGTATAGTAGCTAGATTATGGAATTAGAGCCATTTTAATTAATATTTTTTGTTATCAATTTTATATTATGTCGAACATAATGTCACTTAGAAATAATTGAAGCACCAAACTGTGAGTAGTTATTATGTGTGCGTTTGTAATGGGTTACCATGTTACCAGACTTAACTCGTCGAGTACCGGTTTTACAGACACAATTAAAGAACAATAGGTCGCGGTCACCGGTGACCGCTTGGTATTTGACAGTTTAAGTAAAGAACAGAATGTCCTTCGTGTCAATGTGTGTGTTCTGCGTGTAAGTCTATAGTAACCAGGTGCCACAGGCGTTGCTACAAGAGCCTATGTCCACCTTTTTTTCAACGTCCTTAATTATCACATCTTCTATAAGTAATGTCTGTAAAAAAAGATATGTGGTCCCTAAACGTGACATCTTGAAGAGATTTTACGAACTAAATAACACCGGCGTAGCTAGCGACACGGGCGACACAGCCTGAATTTCAGGCGGACGAGATCACTGAAACTTTATCCACTTTCCCAAGACGCTGGGTAGATGGCGTTGTTTTATATATTTGCTTGAGGAAATATTTTCTAGTGTTGTTTTTTATGTTAGTCGCCAATTTATTATTTTAAATAAACTTAGTTTCATGACTGTTCTTATAGTACACTATGAATGTTTGTCTGCTTTTGATACGTAGCTGATAAACCTTGTTAAATGCAATTCTTATATACCTACCTACTTGACCTATTTTTTAAACGTTGGCATACACTAGTATCTGTAAGGTGGCTGGCAGTGGTTGGATGAGAAGAGCTGAAGACCGAGCTCAGTGGCGTGCCATAGGAGAGGCCTATGTCCAGCAGTGGACGAATACAGGCTGATGATGATGATGATGATACACTAGTATTTTCTCCTGTGTCATGAGTGTTAACATATAATTTCACATACATATGACACCCAGATCCAAAATAACAATTTGTGGATCACACAAAGAATCGCGCCTTGCGGGAATCGGATCCACTACATGGTACGCGGCAGCCGGTTGCCCAGGCACGGCTCTAACCGCGCAGTCAAACATTTAATCGTTTTCCACAATAAAATAAAGCACCATTTTCATTCAGACTCATTATCATTTATGATTCGATCTGTGACACTCAAGAAAAGAATTAAAAAGTTACGCTTTGGAACCTACAACCTTGTCTATGTTCAAGTATTCGACGCTCTTATTATGT